CACCAAACAAGGAAGCGTCGTGATCCGGGTCAAAGCACTTGGATTGACTAAGACCATTCGTCTTCTCGATGTTCAATACGCCTCCAATTTGGAGTGCAACATCATCTCGTTTGGGAAACTCGAGTTGAAGGGATGCGTTCTTGAATTTTGAGAAGGGGGGCGTGTCATGGTATCACATTCTGGTGGGATACCTATAATGGATGTTGATCGCATCAACAATGTACTGGTCGTTGAAGTTTTCAATGGAATTACGACCGATGATTTTCGTGGATTTGGGTCACCAAGAAAAGCGATCATGACGGTTGTTGAAGACATTACGAACCATGCAAAGAACGACACGCAACACAGATCCCTGTCCTATTTTCATCGGTGTCTAGGTCACCTGTTCTATGACACCATCATCAAGATGGCTCGGGATCCCGCCTCTGGTATCCAATTGACTGATACCACGCGTGTCAAGTGCTTAGCATGTGCGCAAGGCAAGCAGACAAAAAACCGACAATCGCGGAAGGACAGTGGGCTGAATTTGCCCATTGACGTGATCGGAGGTGTGGTATGTTCAGACCTAAAAGGTCCTATGACCCCCCGTGATCGGCTCGGAAATCGATACCTGGTCAATTTTATTGACCACAGGTCGAACTACTGCCGGGTGTTCTTAGCGAAGACCAAAGATGCCGCTGCGATGCATTTCAAGAATTTCTTGGTGGCTTTTGAGCGTCAATTTAATTTCCGTATACACGTTTTACGTACAGACGGTGGAGGTGAGTACAAGCCTCTGGATGTTTTTTGCAAGGAAGTCGGTGTCACTCGTCAGGTGAGCGAGCGTGACAATCAGGCCAGCAATGGCAAAGATGAACGCATGCATCGCACCATCATGAACATGGTGCGAAGCATGGTGTTTGCAAGTGGGTTATCCTTGATGTTTTGGGGTGACGCTGCAGAATATGCAGCATACATCCTAAATCGAAGCCCTACCAAGGCAAACGAAGGTGGCATCTCACCTATTGAGATGTTAACCAAGAAAACACCCGTCTTAAGTGACATTGTGGTTTTCGGATCTCCATGCACCGTGCACCGAACGACTACAAACAAGTCGTTGGGTCCTCGGGGAAAACAAGGTATCATCATCGGCAAGAGTGATGAAATGAAAGGATATCGGGTTTTCATACCGATGGAACGTATCGTGGTGGTGAGTCAACATGTGAAAAATGTTGAGATGTTGGATAACATACACGAGAAAAACGTGACTAAAACGTTACATGGTACCGAAGGTCAGGAGGAGCTCGGTGACCAAGGTGGCACGAGCAAATCAAGGGCAAAATCATCGGAATGGAAACGTGATCCACACATGACACGGTCACGTCGAGCTGACGGAGACACATCAAGTGATGTCATAGACATACACAAGAATGTCGGCATGTTCAACGTTGTTCGAGACCCAAGGAACTATGGCGAGGCCGTACGGAGCGACAGCAAGGATAGATGGTCTGTGGCCATCAAGGACGAGCTGCATGCATTGGAGGAAAACGGTGTGTGGGCGGTTGTTGTTCCACCTGACAACGCCCACATACTGCACAACAAATGGGTCTTCAAGACAAAGACCGACGCCGATTGGAAAGTCGAACGCTACAAGGCCAGACTTGTTGCATGCGGAAACGAGCAGTTGTTTGGAGTCGACTACACCTTGACTTTTGCGGCGGTTATGGAACTTGGAACAGTCAAGGTGATTCTGGTCCTCTCACGCAGATGGAACGTACCGGCTCGGCACGGCGATGTGCCAAACGCATACGTCAAGGCCGATCAAGAAAAGGACCTCGACATCTACATGAAAATACCAAGCGGTATGCAAGTCGATGATGACACCTTGGCCCATCATGGAGTGTACGGGACAAAGCAACTCGCGCTGTTGCTTAAGAAATCCTTGTACGGATTAAAACAAGCTGGAAGATTATGGAGCAAGCTACTGCACTCCAAATTAACTGAGTTAAATTTCAGACAATGCACGACGGACATGTGTCTATACGTCAAACGAACCGGCATAGATGTAACGGTCGTCGGAGTTTACGTCGACGATTTGCTGGTGACTAGAACATCGAATGATCTCGTCGGACAATTTTTTAAGGACATGACGTCTCTCGAGATCAAGGACCTCGGGATGGTGAACAAGTTTCTCGGACTTAGGGTCAAGCTGGACGAAAACGAAGGCTACGTAATAGATCAAGAAGTAACCATCGACTCACTGCTAAAGGAACATGGACTAGCTACAGCTAACGGGGTTCGATCTCCAATAGGAGACGAATGCAATGACGTCGATGAGACGAACTCGGAGTCCCTGAAGTCGACCGCCAAAGCTGGAGATGCAAGTTTCAAGGCCTTCCAATCACTCGTCGGAAGTTTACTCTGGATCGCGCGTTGCACTCGACCAGACATTTGTTTCGCAGTACACCGAGCGACTCGACAGACTCACAAGCCGACAACCAAGGATTGAAGAACGGCGAAACGAGTCGCAAGATACCTGAAGGAAACCAAGAGTTTAAAGTTTTGCATCAACAGCTCACGCGGTATGGACGACCCAATTAAGATTGAAAGCTGGAGTGATGCAGACTTTGCAGCGGACAAGTCGGACCGCAAGTCAGTCACGGGATACGTTCTCACGATGGATGGTGCTGTCGTGTCATGGGCGTGCAAGAAGCAGACGGGTGTGTCGCTGAGCACCATGGAAGCTGAGTTCATCGCGGCATCCCACGCTGGTCGCGAGCTGTTGGGTTTATAGGAACTGTTTGGTGAATTGAACATGAAGATCGTCAAGCCGATGCCGATGTAGATGGATAATCAAGCCGCAATCAACTTGTTGAAGACCGAGAAAAGCTCATCAAGTGCAAAGCATGTGGACGTCCGACTCAAGTTCATCTGCCACTACGCACAAGCAAACGAGGTTGAGCCACGCTTCATCAAGTCAGAAGAGATGATTGCTGATCTCCTAACTAAAGCGCTGGCAGCACCAAGGATGAAGGACCTACGTGCGATGTTCAAGTCTAAGAACTTTCAGGATACGGTTGAGGAGTAGTGTTAGAAGCTATTGTTGTTGACAGGTCGTGAAGGTCAAGGGCAATACCCTGTCACGCGGTAAGTAACAACCGTACCTGATTGATTAAACAGACTTGACGTGCTGACAGATGGGACGAGGCGACGATATCGCCACGTCGGACCATCAGGATGTTGCGACATATGGGACGAGGCGACGAGATTACCACACCGTCTTGTCGATGTCGTAACAGATGGGACGGAGCGGGATAGACGTGAACTATAGATGGTATAGTTGCAGTCGGTTTCGCATGCATGTGTAGGTATTAACGAACGAGGAAAGTTAATGCTTAATATATATCACTTTTACTTCTACCTCTACGTGCACAAGTGCACAAGTGCACCACTACTTCACTTCACTCTTACAATATGAATATGAAAGTCGCCGCAAATGGCTATGGAATCGTCACAGTGCCCTTATACAAGCAACGAGATGGGCGATTACTTATTTTAACTACAAATGCGATCGTGAAGGCGTAGATCGAAATCGTCATGGACATGTCGAAGAAAGAAGGGTTTAAAAGGCGAAAGCCAATTCAATTATTGACCTATTTTCAAAGGTGTTAGACTAGAAGTGAAAGGTAAAGCTATGCATCAAAGTTAAATAAGTTAACTTAGAAAGTCAGAACTTTTACAATACGAATCTACACCTTTACGAACAACATCTGGTCCTTTACAATCACTCGCAACATCTCGCAGCACCCATTCGAAGTTCTTCATTAAAATCAACCACAAACCAACATCCAGTATTTCCTATACCATGCATCCAGTATTTCCTATACCATGCATCCAGTATTTCCTATACCATGCATCCAGTATTTCCTATACCATGCATGAATAGCAGTTAGACGGTCAGAAAAAAGAGCAGTTATTACACTAAAACAATTTTAACATGTTACCGCTGATTGCTAGCGTTGCTTTGCCATTCGTTTAAACGTAATAGCATCGCGAGAAATGCAATTCTTGCACGTTACGCTAAGAATTGGGCCCTAGACGCTTGTTCGCGACCAGCAAAGATGTTGGATGCAGCGAGAACGAGCTTGAGAATATGTTAGACTGGACAGAATGCGCTGCTAATTTCACCTACAGGGACGCGCACAGCAGAAGCTCGTGTGTACAAGTAAACCAGTAATTTAATTATCTAGAGTGGGTAGTTATAATTGAAGTTTCCAAGCTGTGATTTGCTGGGATTATTTATTGTCTGTGGCCCTACATGTACTGTAGTAGCTTTGTTTGTGGCCGCAGTATAAATGTCTGTGGCCCTAGTAGTAATGTCTGAGGCCATAGCATTTTCATATTTTAATATTTACAATTTTATTATACTACTCTAAGTACTCTACGCTAAATTAATAACTATTATAGTAGCTATAGTATGGCATCGTCTTATACAGTAGTATGGCATCTTCTGTAGCTGAATATGGAATTTTAGCTATCAGTGTATGATGTACTTGGTACTACTGTATCAGCTAAGGACCGAATCCGGTAGTATAGGGTTTGACCTATATCTTATAATATCACTCATTTATAATACCCCTTTGTAGAAAGATTAGTATTAGTAATACATTACATGCAATGTAGAAACTTTTTCAACCGTGACTTACTTTCGGTATGATGGTCCAACCGTCGTGTAGCCCCGTGACAGCGGCGGCACGTCAAGAAGCGAGATTGCACGGATTTTGCGATCTGTAGAGACGTATCTACAGACCACAGACGCATTTTTGACAAGACGGTATTCAATGAATGAAAAAAGTACTCTGGATAGCATAGAGTTGGGAAATGGGCCGCAAATGAAGCAACGGCGAAGGTGTTAGACGTGCATGTAGAAGACCATGTAGAAGAGCATGCTGACGACAGCCAAATAGGGCCATACACATTGCTAATATCCTGAGGTTAATAATCGTGGACGTGTAGTCCACATGTTCACAAGCCCAAGGCACGGGCTCACGCCTGAGCAAAAGCGCCTCATCTGTCTACACGCGCGACAGTTTCCCAAGACCACCCAAACACAATTGGGTCAATGGGCTAAAGAGCAGTCCAATCACGACTATGTGCCATCACAGGCCGCCACTAGCTACATGCTCAAGAAACGCTTCGAACTCGTGTCTAGTGAAGATCGCGACTACAAGAAGCTGCGCACCGTCAACTGTCCCGAGGTGTACTCGGCGCTGGCCAATTGGTTCCTATACTGCCAAGCAAGACGACTCAAATTACCAGGAGATCTCGTACGACATAAAGCGCGCATATTCTATAAGCTCCTAGCCCCGCAGCTACCAAAAGTGTCACATGCTCTCCGCCCTAATATTCTAATGCTGGATGCATTCATTCATGGGAAGGCATGGATTCTCTTTAGGAGGAGGCAAAGGCAGCAAAGGACGAACGCAACATAAAGTAGCGGACAGTAAACCGAAATTGACACCGGAAACGTCGGTGATCTCCACGCCGGACCATATCAAGGCGGCAGTGGCGGGTGTGCCGCCGGAAAATGTCTACTGGCTGCATGAGACGCGGCTGTTTTACGCGATGAGTCCGGACAGGCAAGCGTTACCAACTAACCATCATCCGGAAAAAAAGTTGACAATGCTATTGGCACTTAACGCGGACGGCAGTGATAGACTTAACCCGTTTTTTGTGGGACCTCTCACCCATTGTCGATGGATTCGAACCAAAAGACGGAAGAACGGCCATATTAATTTGCCTGCAATCATAAAGCCTGGATGCCGCCGACGATGCTACGAGACTGGCTCATGGCACTGGATTGGCGCATGCGTTTTAGTAATCGCAACATAGTACTGATTGTTGACTCAGTAGCTGCCATGTGCGTGCAAAAAGCATTGCTGTCGAATGTAAAGATGCATTTTGTGGAACGCAACCACACTGGAGAGCTCTGTGTTCGAACTTTAGAAATGGGCGTTGTGGCTGCTATCAAGCGCCATTACCGCTACCAGCTCTTAGACTACGCGCTTGACCGACGCGAAGAAGGTCAGCTTGATATCTACGATATTCCATTGCAGAAGGTTGTAGAGTGGGTGGTACAAGGTTGGCAGCAAATTCCGCGGTCTCGCATCATTGCTAGCTTCGCGCACGTGGGCGTGATGTTTACTACCGAGACAGGAGCTGCAGTTGCCCCGGACGACCATATTGATAAAAAACTTGATGCGCAGATTCAAGTGCTGTTGAAGCGTTTATAGCTAGTCAGTCCCATGCGGCTGATTGAGGTTGTGGCATCTAGTTCTGAGAAGGTGTCCGACGAAAACCTGACAGATGCAGATTTTGCCGATTCGGCGCTGCATGCCGCTCAAGGTACGGTTGGTATACAATTGAGCTTGGACGACCTGACCCGCCATACGATAGTGCAAGAGTCTACAAATTCAGATAGCTTGACACCAGTCGATATGCAGGCATTCTCATCCAGTCCAGCTGCACCCCGCCGCAACAGCAACAATGTCAGCAACGTACTGAGCAATAACCCTGGTTTTGAGCAGGGGTACCCTGGCTCACTGGATGATTCGTGGTTGTCACATGGTGCTATGACCGCCCCTGGTCGCCAGCCTGTGAGCGATTTGGAGGCGGTACAAAAGACGATTTGTTTGGCGACCGAAATGAATTGTGATCCAGTGGTGATGTTGGAGCTTAATCGAATGAAAACGGAGGTAACCAATCGTGATCCAAGCACGTCAACTTCTACAACGCTGACTACGCCGACCACTCGCAATGTTGCCGTCTGTCAATTCACTTCGGAGCTCCAACACGGCGACTACTATAAGTTAGCGATTTGGTGTATAGCATGTCACATATTGCGTTACAAAAGGTGTAGCCATCTCAGGCGACTTTAATGAGCATGTCAAACGTAGCCATCTCTATTCTATCTTGCTTTTCGATTGGCTGAAACGCTTGTGGAGGATTCTCTTTACATCACACCTTTTCTTACTAAAATCAAGGTCTAGAGACGGTAAAACGAAGGTCTAGAGACGGTAAATCGAAGGTTTACTCTCTTTTCATACGTGACACTCGATCCATTGCTCAATTGATATGTCGCACCGCAAGAAAGTTCTGCTTAAGGTGATCATTTTGGGTGATAGTGGGTGCGTTAACTCTCTTAATGTGGCTACAGAATTAAAGTCTCAAAAGTGAATCATACGTCACATAATACTATTTTTTGTCATCATTTAGCGTGGGGAAAACGTCGCTTATGAACCAGTACGTGAACGAAAAGTTTAGTAGTCAATACAAGGCCACGATTGGTGCCGACTTTCTTACCAAGGAGATCATGCTGGACGACAAACTGGTGACGATGCAAATATGGGACACGGCGGGCCAGGAGCGATTCCAGAGTCTAGGTGTCGCCTTTTACCGTGGAGCTGATGCATGCGTGCTGGTCTATGACATTACCAACCCCAAGGCAATTAATAACAGTGAAGATGTAGTAGTGAGGCTGCAAAGGGCTGACATTTCTATCGTTTTATTGTAGTCTTTTGAGAAGCTGGACACGTGGCGAGACGAGTTCTTGGCACAGGCAGGACCAAGAGACTCGGATGCCTTTCCGTTTATTGTACTGGGTAACAAGGTGGACAAGGAGTCGGAACGAAGAGTGAGGAGAAATAATTGACTTGGGCTGAGGGTCTAGGAATTGTGGCTGTGGAATGACTTATCATAATCGTGGTGCAGGTTCCCAAGGAGAAGGCGCACGAGTGGTGCCGTGGAAAGAACGTCCAACAGGTGAGTGGATATGACAGTGCTGCAATTACATGATTGGTGTTGATGTTTATTACGGTGGGAGTGATTTAGCCAATTCAGCACTATGAAACAAGTGCGAAAGAAGCGACGAGTGTGGAAGAAGCGTTTCAGACAATTGCTGCTTCGGCTTTGCACAAGGGCCATGAAGACGATATGTACGTATACCAGTATAAGGTAGAATTGCAAATGTGTGGTGATTTGTATAAAGTTGTCTTGAACCCGTGTTGTTTTGGCTGCTGCAGTTACGTACCTGAAACGATTGATCTCAGTTGCACATCATCGAAGCGGGAGAGCTCTTCATGCTGCTAAACTGTGACGTTGTGTGCTGCATTGAATTTATGAGGACAGCTCGACGTTAGCACATGTGATGAGTCATATCAAGACAAGGTCCGCGAGAAGGCAATGGAGCAATGAGCACGATGAGCAAGCCAGGCCAGACGAGCGTAATTTCAGTCTCACTTTTGTAGGACGAGAAATTCATTTGCTAGTTTTCGATAGAGGCTGTCGTCTAACTAACCCCATTTCACAGGAAGATAGTTTTGTCCACTGCCATTGATACCTCTGACCTTTCTGCTTTTTCAGTGCTGACCCATCGCTTTAATTCGCTTTTGCTGACTTGACAAATTATCTCCTTCGACAATTTCTCAGCTGTAGGAAAATGGTACTGCTTTATCAAATGTGTGTGCTGGTTGAAAAAGCAAGAATCTTTCCTGTGGACTCCATTACAACAAGTCAGTGGGACACTTGAAAAGGGCAATCAAAGAGATGAAGTTGGTGACAATCTCATGTAATGCCATGGACCAGCGCTCCTCCTGGCACAGAAAGATAAGGGCCGCGAAGCATGGCTGACGGATGCAAAGGTGAAGCAAAGCGTGAGTTACATCAGTGGTCTGACGCTGTAGACGGTGCGGAAGCGCAGTCAGCGTGGTTAATTGGCTACATGGAGGAAGCTATGCGGATTCAAGTCTCGAGGAGGATGTTGCAGCTGGAATATTCCGGTACACGTGCTGGTAAGTTGCCAGCACAGGTTGCGAATGTTGTTTCGATTACAGCAAATGTACAGCTTCCACCCGCCATTGTACTGAACGAGCCATAAAATACGCTGAGGAATGCATTCTACTGAACGAGCGGGGTGTCATTGCTGTACACAAGAGCCCTTCGTATATGAGCAGCTTGGGTAGATGTACGTACCAAAGTGGAAAAGTTTGGCGAATGGAAAATGCTGGATGGATAGTTTCAAGAGTCTTTTCACAATAGCGTGAATACTTGCATACGAAGAAAAGTATTGTGATGGGCTTGCTGGGTATTGGTAAACCACACTGCTGTGCGTAAGGGATTTCCACCTCGTTTCCAAGCACAAGAAAAATTTGCTAGTGTACCGACGATTGACCAAATTTGAGCCAAATAGTCTCTTTTACCTGAGTTCCGAAGATGGCAAGGTCGGTGCGGTTTGCAGTGCAGAGATGCAAAGCTCTGAAAGGCATTAACATACCCGAAGAGTTCATTCGCCAACAGGACATATCGAAGAAGCTGTTGCTGAATGGACTACAGTACTGCGATATTTATGCAAAGACGTTTAAGATGCTGGCAACATCGCAGGAAGTGGATCTGAAGTCTAGTAAAGAATTGATGCGTACAGCAGTCTGTTGCCATGTTTATCAAAGTCGCATCACTTCTTGATGGAAAGCCTCATTCACAAGACTGCTATATAATGAACTAACATGAGACATCAGAAACACTGAAAGAAATATGCTCGACATTTTCACGTCGCTAAAAGATACTTACGTTAATGTCCTAAAGATCCAGCGAATGGCAACGGTACAGCTTGTGTATATAACATCGTAATTCAATATCGACACTAAAGCATACGGCAGCTCAAAATAATCCACATCACACCTCAATTCCAGGGTCTTCCGGCCACGCAGCTCAGACACTGCTTGGACAAACGCTGGGCGACCTGCATCACGTTCTCCGTGAGCTTCTCCAGCCACGTCCATATTGTACTTGACCACGGCCGAAATAGGGGTAATCGGGGAGCCGAGGGGGCCGTAGCGGCCACAAATTTTGTCATCTTCTCGTGCTGAGCTACAGTGGCATCGTCCTTAACCCGATCCACCTTGTTCTGCAAAGTATTAATATTCTGCAAGCGCATGATCTCAATAGCGGAAAATAGGTGCTCGGGCGTCTGTGACTGCGTGCATACTTCATTACAACCAGTAGTCAGCAAGGCGGCATCCATGACGGCGACACGTTCAGCATCGTAACCATAAGAAACATTGAAGGAAAGGATGTGACTTGTTTAGTGAACCAGCTCCGAATAACGCTAGAGAAATCTTACTTGTCTAAGTCGTTCGCTCAGCGGGATCAACATTATGATTTTTGGTAGTCAGCCATGCAGAACGGAAGGATGTCTCACGTTTTGGCCCCTGTATAGTCGTATAAGAAACCTGTAGACGGGCGCTCCTACGCAGTTGCCTCGTACTACGAGCACACACCTTCAGCACAGGCGAGGAAGCGGTTAGACCGTCTTACCTTCGCGTGCGAGGGTGGATAAGCGGTTGGTCGACTGCTTAAGCAGTCGTACCACTAGTTGCGTCTCACTTTAGCGAGAGTGCAACGAACTTCTTAACAAGAAGGCACCGACGTCACGCAGAAGCTTTTCAGCTTCTCGTGCGCTGTGCTTAAATTCAAGACTGAGCTATATTTAATGAATTTTAATTAAATACTAACTTAACTACTGATTGGCTATAAATATAGATCGGATACGCGACTTTTCAGAAGCGTATCCTGACGCATGAACTTAAATCTAGATTTAAGATCGCAACTGACGTCCTTCTGAGACGTCGCGATGCCTAGCTTCAACTAGCGTCATCCCTTCCCATGTGAATCCATCAATGGATATCACATTCACGAGGGTGGATCACGTTTGTGTATCGCACCCAAGTGACAGGTCAAAAGTAATCATGGATACTTTTAGACCAAACATTAAGTATATTACTTAATTTTTACGTGTAAGTAGATGCCCTGTTACAAATATATTTGCGAATATTGTGGCTCAAAATCATGGTAAAGCTGTTCTGCGCCATTGTTGGTGTGAAGGGAAGTGCGTTTTCTGTGGAGATCGATGTGACTCAGAGTGTGGGGGACTTAAAGAAGGTTATTAAGGCGAAGAATGAAGATCTCCAAGGTCCTGCGCGTAACCTGCAACTTTTCCTGGCAAAGGGAACGGACGACAAGTGGCTAAAGGACGACGATGTTGCTGCGCAACTGCTATATACAGGGAAGACACATTCAAATATCCAGCAGATGATTGGTGTAAAGCAAGTGATGGCAACGAGAACCTTACAGCGTTGGCTCTTTGATGATAACAAGATGTCGCAGCCATTGCCAGAACAAATTCACGTGCTGGTGGTAGTTCCGTTTCAGCACGTACAAGCTCAAGATGTCGATGAGGCAGTACGGATGCGAGAAGACATTAATCGTTTATTGCGAGCTGCACAGCAGCTTGAGCAAGCGGTGGCCTCTTTGCCACACAAATCGTCAAAGTCCTTGTCGAATGCGGCACTTGGTGCGCAAGAGCAAATAAAATTGGAAGTAAAAAAGCAGGTCATCGATTTTGCACCAGTCGAGGACGAAGAAGCATTTTGGTCGAAGGAGACTCAGATTAAAGCTGATGTCATTACGAATGAGGCTGATTTGGACGCATTTATTACTCCTTTCTTCAGCAGCATACTAGAAAGCTGTGGTTTGGTATACGTGAATAGTGAGAGGTATCAATGGTTCTCTCAGGGTTTTAAATTGTATAAGAGCAAACACCTCAAACCGGATGGATTTGCGACCCATCCTGGAATGTATCGTGTCAAGCCAGAACCGCAAGATCGTGTTCATTGCCCGGATGGATTTCGATTTGGAGTTGCAGAAGAAGAATTGTTCGACTGCCTCATCCTGTTCGAAAGCAAGCTTAGTATATATAACGCTGCGTTTGGCCAAGTGGTAAAATACCTGCAAAACCTTTGCCCCGAGGAGACAGCATACGCCATTCTTTTTGACCGTCAGTCATTCTGGTTAATCAGTAGCTACAAGGCTGATGTTTACAGAGTTCAAAAGGCGAAGTGGGTCGACAAAGGCTCGAAATCATTGTTTCAGAATTTTATTTGTGAGAACACGTCGCCGTGAGTGGCATACTTGACCAATGCCTGCGAGGCATTACATGTTAATGTGGTGGAAGGCGATGCATTTCTCGGCCGTGGTGCATACGGACGCGTTTTCAAGGTTACTGGGCAGGATGGAAAGATTTTCGCGCTGAAAATCGCAACGGATGTGGAACGTCTTTATCGGGAGCGACGAGCCTTGTTAATGGCCGAGCACACAGGCTTGACGATTAAACCTATTGGAGATGTCACCGCAACTATGGAAAGCGGTGCGCTATTACTGTGTCCTGTCGGGAAACCTCTACCGCGACCAACGACTCGAGAGAAAGTACGAAGCCTCTTTTACATGTTATGGCAGCTTCATGCAAATAACTTGGCTCATGGAGATCCTCGTGTGCCGAATGTGATCCTCACTGAGGAGAAGACTCTCTGGATTGATCTTGTGATAGGAGATAATGCGACCCCTTATTTGAAACGAAGGGATGCTGAAATACTTACACGTTCCATTCTGAGACTCCCTTACGAGAATTCGCTGAGCCTGGCGCTGGTGCAGTCACTTAATAGCTATTATCAATGCGCTACGCAAGAAAATCTCGATCGTTTGGCTGAAGAAGTAGCATCAGCTGCAGGTTTCAGTGACTAGGAAACGCTCTAGCAGAAAGCGGAACCCTGTCGAGCCGAATGACGTCGTGGTGATGATGTTGCTGCGATGGCGCAATAAGTGATTGTGGTCAAGATCGAGTCAGGACAGGACAGGAACGATCTAAAACGTTGAACAGGCTTAGAGATAGCAAAGGTTTGCGAACTAAGACCTGAGTATATTTTTTTGCATCTTGTCATCTAAAATTACTTTTGATAGTCGTAAACTTGATCCACAATGGTACTGGCGTTCGGTAAGCACAGAACAAGCGAGAGTTCAGCCAGCAATAAAATAGCACACATATACCAGTCCTTTCATTAAAAATGGCAGCGAAAAGACATTAGCACGAGGTTAAAGATCATCCTTCTAGGAACGATCGACGATCCATGTTGAGGACGTCGCAGACATTGTGTAACGGGGTTACACGACGGTTGTAACGTCTTTCCGAGAGTTTACGCTTAAACTCTCCTTTGTATTGCATATAATGCATTATTATACTTCTCGTTAGAGAGGTATTA